ATTGCTCTCTATGACTACCTGAAAGGAGGGTGTAGTGAGCCAGGGGTTGATCTCGTCTTCAAAATAACTTCCAAAAATAGGACAAGAGAAAATACCCTCCACTTGTGCCAGGGGAGGTTCAGGTTAGATAGTAGGGAAAAAAATCTACACAGAAAGAGTAGTCAAGCTTTGGAACAGGCTGCCCAGGGAAGTGGTGGAATCACCATCGCTAACAGTGTTCAAGAAACATGTAAATGAGACACTTAGGGACATGGTTTAACAGTCATGGTGTTGACAGGCTTGCAGAGGGACTGGATGATCCTGAAGGTCTTTTGCAACCATTATGATTCTATGATATGCTAATGTAACTTTACCACAAACTGAGAAAGCTAAGGATGTGCATGCTAACTCAAACCAGGATTTCTCTGTAGTATTCAACCAAGTGTCCACATCCTTAGGGCCTTCCTCCCTAAAACATATTGTTCACTGGAAACACCAACACAGAGTTTCCACAGAAAATGCCATGTGTCCTTTAAGAAAAGGGTGTGTTTGTAAGGCAGGACTCTTGAAACACAAGTACTATTGAATGAATATTCTTACATTTCTATAAGAGCCAAGCAGTCTGTGAAACCAGACATTGCTGCAGTGGAATAGTGAATTTAAACACCAAAGTGAAGCTGTAATCAGTAAGAAAGCAATCCAGGAGTTTTCTAAAAGGTGACAACTTTTACACAGATGCTAGATGGGCCAACCAGAAGTGATGAGCACCTTGATTTACTACTCACAAACAAAGAAAAACTTTTTGGGGACATGATAATCAATGTCAGCCTTGGCTGTAGCAACCATTATATAATGTAGTTCAAGATCCTGAAGGGAGTGAGGAAATCAAGTAGTAAGGTACAGACCCTGGACTTCAGAAGACTTCTGCTTATTCAGGGAGCTGATGGGTGGGATCCTGTGAGAAGCAGCTCTGAAGGGCGAAGGAGCTCAAGAGAGATGACAGGTGTTTAAGGATAGCTTCCTCCAAGCACAAGAATAGTCCATCCTAATACTCAGAAAAATGAGCAAACATATCAGGAGATCAGCTTGGCAAAACAGGGAGCTCGAAACTGAGCTCCAACTCAAAAAAATGTATACAAGAGGTGGAAGCAGGAACAAGCTACAAAGCGGGTATACAGGGATATAGTTAGGAAGGGGTATACCTTGGCACTACACCCTATAGTGATAATATAGTGATAAAATCAAAGGTGTATACTCCCCCCCTCATAAATGGGGGTATACAGGGATATAGTTAGGAAACCCAAAGCTCATCTGGAGTTGAAACTGTCAAGGGATATCAAGGGCAACATGAAGAGCTTCTACTGCTACATTAGCAGGAAAAGAACAAACATGGAAAATGCGGGCCCACTGCTACATTGGGTGGGCAATTTAATGACAAATGGCTTTGCCTTGTTTTCACCAACAAAGTCTCCTAGATCCTTGTTCTTAGAGACAGTGTTCAAGGAGGAGAGGAATTGCCAGTAGCAGAGGAGGATTGTCAGGAATCTGTTAAGAAAGCTTGATTCATACAAGTCCATGGGACTAGATGGAATGCATCCAAAGGTGCCAAGAGAGCTGGCCGATTTTATTGCAAGGCCACACTATCATCGTTGAAAGTTCATAGAGATTAGGGAAGTTCTCAATGACTGAAGAAACGTTGCACCCATCTTCAAAAAGAGCAAGAAGGACTATTTAAGGAACTACAGTCCAGTCAGCCTCACTTTGGTGGTCCTTGGGAAAGTCATGAAGTCCTCTTGGAAGCCATTTCTGGGCACATAAAGGTAAATCCACTCTGGCTATTCCCAATCGTCAAGGAGAAAATTATGCTTGACCAAACCTATCGCCTTTTTTAATCAAATAACTAGATCTGTGGATGAGGCGAGAGCAGTGGGTGTCATTCACCTTGACTTCAGCAAGGCTTTCAGCACAATCTCAGCATCTTTGTATCCAAAATGGGACATTATTATCTGAATGTGTGGAATACCTAATAGGTGAAAAACTGGCTGGATTGTCAGGTTCAGAGGGTAGTGGTTAATGAGTCATTCTCTACACAGAGGCCAGTAACAAGTGGAGTATTGCAGGGGTCTATCCTGGGACCTATCCTATTTAACATCTTTACTGGTAACCCAGAGAAGGAGAAAGAATCTACTTCATCAAGTTTTTGGATGGCACCAAAGTAGCGGGGTGCAGCTGATATGCTTGAGGATGAGGCTGCTGTTCAGAGGGACTGAGTCAGGCTAGAAAGATGGGCTGACAAGAGCCTCATGGTAATCAACAAAAACAATGACAAAGTCATGAGATAGTACAGGCTGGGTAGCAGTTCTGATGAAAAGGACATGGGGGTCCTGATTGACAGGAAGCTGAATGTATGCCAGTAGTGTGCTCTGGCAGTGATGAAGGTTAACAGCATCCTGGACTATATCAACAGAAGCACAGCCATTATATCAAGGGAAGTGATTATTCCCCTTTACTCAGCATTCATTAGACGACATTTGGATTGCTGCATCGAGTTTTGGCCCCTCTAGTACAAGAAAAATGCTGATAAACTCAAGCAGGTTCAGTGTAGGGCTGCCAAGATGGTCAGAGGTTTTGAGCACAGGCCCTATGAGGAGAGGCTGAGGGAACTGGGCTTGTTTAGCCTGGAGAAGAGAGGACTTGATGGGGACTGAATTACAGCCTTCCAATACCTAAGGGAGGTACATGGTGGGAGGATGAGAGACCATGAAAGCAGGGGAGGTTCTGACTGTGCATAAGAAGAGAAAAATTCACTACAAGGATAATTAAACAACAGAGCAAGTTGCAGAGAGATTGTGGCATCTCCATCCTTGGAGGTTTTCAAGATGGAGAGATGGAAGTTTGAGACAGCCTGGATGGAGGAGGACTGTGACGAATATCAACAAAGAGGTGAGCAAGGGCTGCATTTTCAGATGCCTGCCGCTATGTGTTCTAGTTTTTAAAACTGAAATGGTAGAACTTGCAGAGGATAGAAATGCCTCTCTCTTCCCTTACCCTTCACCAAGTTTTTTTTTTTCCCCATAAAAAGTCCAATTATTTCCTCTACTCGGCTCTGGTGCCCTCTACTCAGTCATAGTGAGGCTGCACCTGGAACACTGCGTGCAGTTCTGGGGTCCCCAGTACAAGAGGATGTGGAACTTCTAGAGAGGGTCCAGCAACAAAGATGATTAAGGGACTGGACCATCTATCTTATGAGGAAAGACTAAGTGAGCTGGGACAGTTTAGTCTGAAGAAGATTGAGAGGGGATCTTAACATGTACAAATATCTGAGGGGAGGATGTAAAGAGGATGGGGCCAAACTCTTCTTGGTGGTAGCCAGCAATAGGACAAGGGGTAATGGGTACGAATTGAAACACAGGAAGTTCCATCTCCATGTGAGGAAAAACTTCTCTACTGTGAGGATGACAGAGCCCTGGAACATGCTGCCCAGAGAGGTTGTGGAGTCTCCTTCTTTGGAGATCTTCAAAACCCTCCTGGATGTGACCCTGTGCCACATGCTCTAGGTGTCTCTGCTTGAGCAGGGGGGTTGGACTAGATGATCTCTAGAGGTCCCTTCCAACCTCTACTATTCTGTGATTCTGTGAATTATGTACTCTCTGTAGAGGAAAGGTAAAATAGTTACGTGCTATCCTTCTGCTCAGAATAAGCAGCAGCAGCTGATACTATTGAGGCTGAGTTACACTCAGAGTAGAAGAGCAGAAGAAAGTCCATGTGCTGCTTTCCATTAAATTGGCCTTTCAGTATTGGTGTTACTATCAATCTTATGCATTGAGTGAGAAAACTCTGCTAGGGCAGGATATCCCTTCATTTAAGCCACCAAATGAAGCATTTTGCAGGAGTCAGTTTTAACACAGATGGAAGCACATAACCAAGCCTTTTGGCTCAATTACTTAAAATAGCACACTGAGATGCACTGCTTCTGTATATTTCTTTTTTCTTTTCATTGTTTTTGGAGGCGGGGGGGATAAAAGGGAAGATGACCAGCATCCCTATATTAAAAGGGGGAAGGGAAGCTAAATTTGGAGAAAAACATATTTGTATGCATTCAGCTCTTTAACCTGAAGAGCCATTTTCTCTTCCTTTATATCAGGAAATATCAGGAAATAGTGCATGCCTCAGTTCTTTCGTAAATCTGTTTAGAAAGGAAGACACTGTTTTGAACATAATCCATAAGATTTTCATTTGTAAAATCATTTTTAAACTTTAAAGTTTTACCTCATTAAAAGAAGAAAGGTTAAGTTTTTTAGCAATGAACTTCTTTAGATGCAAGACTGTTGCTTGTGCTGAGCAGCGGATCCATTTTCGTTTCAATCCACGTAATTTGCTGCTATTGCATTCCAGGCAGATGCTTACCTTTAAGAAAAATCAAACACAGTCAGGGTTGGTTGACAAGATTATCTGCAGTCCTCATTATGCAGTCCACATGCAGCCTTTGTTAGTCCAACAAAAATGTGAAAATGTATAATATCAGTATTCTTTAAACTGAAATGCATGCAGTCCCCCTAAAGAAAAGGTTATCTATCATTTTGTCAGCTTACTTTTAAGCACCATTCAACACAAAAGGGATCTGGACAAAAGTTCAAGGTAAAACTTTATGTCTGCCTTATTCCAGAGCTTTAATCAAACTGCAGAGGCTATAAATACTTCAGAACGAGCCTAGGTCAAGCCAAAGTGAGTTATCTAATATGAAAACCCCCCAGGGTCCTGAATGCATTCCCCTCACCCCTGGGGGTTTGGTTATCTGGGCTCAGGGCAAACTTTGATAAGCAGCTGTCTGGCCATGAAACTGTTGTGAAGAAAGAGATGTTTGAGAAAAAGCTGAAAGAATACTCAGCGGGGGCTCCCTCTGCTCCACTTGGCAGTATCATTTAAAATAAAGTTCAGGCCCTTGGTCCCCCTGCTTGAGCTATGTTGCAGTCATGCCTGTGCCTGGCCATGTACTCCATTGATCCAAACCCAGATACACAGATTAGACTTCCTGACTTGACCTTGAACCTGCCTTGTCATTATGGAATTGGCTTGGTGATCCCTACACTGCGCCTGGCCCTAGCTACTGCTATCTCTGAATCTGACCCCAACTTGCTGACTTCACTTTCTGGCTTAACCTTGGGCCTGCCTCATCACTACAGATTTGCTTGGTGAAAACTAGGCTGTGGACAACCTTGGTCACTGTCACCAGACCTACTCGGTTCTCCTTGTTTGGGTGCTATGGGACTGCTCCCCTTGTCAGTGAGGTCACTGCTCCTGCCCTTAATTAACTCACTGCTCCTGCCCTTAATTAACTTTGAAAAAATAATTTCTCCACAGATACCTAAAAAGGAAAAAAAACCAACATCAACAACAACAACAAAAAAAAAAAACAAAGATGAAACTCAAGTTTACACAAGAGCATGGAAGAACCCTGTATTTTGTCTCTGTCAGAGGGAAAAAATAATCAAAGAAAAATGAACATTTTTTAAAAAAGTGGAACAGGACCAAAGCTGAAAGACAAAAATAATACTAAGAAATGCACTATACCAGAAGTATGCCCACCTGTTCATCGCTTCGATGATAGTCATTATCTTCTTCCTGTTTTTCCTCAGAAGTTTCTCTCTTTAAATTTTCATCTGTTTTAGTTTCACCTTTGAGAAGAAAGCAGAGAATTACAATAAGTTAGACATATCAGATGATGGGTGATCCTGAAACAAATTTAAGACTAAGAACAATTGAGCTTTGATTTGTTTTTCAAAGTATTTAGGCTCGTCACATCATGATCAGTTTCTCTTCTACCCAGGACAAAAGTTGGAAAACAGTTTAATATTTGGTAGCAGAGATACTTGTGCTGTGCTTACCTTTCCTGCCTTCCTGGACACTAATCCAAAGATTCCCCCCAAAAATCAGTAAGATATAACAATTCCCTTCAGTTCAAGACACCTTACTACAAATTTATCAGGGCACATTCACTGTTCTGTAAAACTGGTATACTCTGCTGACAGTCACTAATTTTAGAATTATTTTGCCCTAGAATGAATACACACACACACTTTAAGTATAACCACTGCACCATTTCTATCACAAAATTACACTTAACAACAGTAGTTTCTGAAGTTAACATGATTAAAACAGTATCATTCAGAACTGGGATAGAGAATAACCTCTTCCAGCCCCAAGTCACGACTGTCCACTCATGCAAACACCAGCTGCCAACAGGCCCACACAGTCAAAAGTGGGAACAAGTATAGAGCACAGCTCGCAACATAACTAACTGTTAGCAACCCAGAAGCAAGATATCATCATAGATAGATATCTAAGATATCATCATAGTTCCCACATAGAAACTACTGAATACCGTCAACAAGAACACATTACAGCCAGCTAAAAGAACATATTTTGTAAACAAGTGTGATGCAGAACAGCAGCACTGCACTCAGATGGTGAGTTCAAAGCTCTAGGTAGTCCAGTATACAAGCATAAGCAAGCATTGCACAATACTATACAACAATTATGAGTGCTAATAAATATTAGCTAGATGCCTACCTCTGTCGGATCCTTTCAGCAGCTTAATGGCAGCACCCCTCCTCCCCACAACAGAACAAACAGAAGACCATTTACCATTGCGATGTGAATCTAGATGCTGCTTTGTAGAGCATGTCTCCCCTTTGATGTCCCCTGGTACTTCCATACCCAGTTTGTGGTAGAATTCCCTCTGCTTTTTCATTTCCGCTGTTTAAAAATGTAAATATTTGTCATTGTAATAAAGTTTTAGTGCAATATTTATCAAATTATTTCAAAAGCCTCCTCTGTCCTTTAGAAGCAGTTTGTTAGGCAAGAAGTGGTATTATCACTTTTTGATACTTTTCTACCCTTTCTGCCATAGTCGAGTTATCCCAGATCTTATATTCCAGAGGCAGAAGTAATTTGCAGAGCTACTATTACACCATTCTGTGATTACAGAAGAAATATCTTAAATACTATACCATACTTTGCATTTTTCCTCCTATGATATTTCTGTCAAAACATTGTTTTTGAATTTGTATCTCTATTTCTGATTTTCAATATCCTAGAAATATCTTTTAAATAATCTCTTTACCTAATCTTGCTTATAAACATCTGAAAATGTCCTCACTTGACAGCTTAATTGGATTGAAATATTCTACTTAAATAAAAGCAGTGACGCACTGCTGAAACATAACACTGAACAGTTGCAATAAAGCATTCCTTTAGTTCAACACATCCATTGTCAAAGAGGAATATGAGAACACAAATGCAAAGGTACTTGCTAGCAAAGGCTTTAAGTACATCTTAAAAAACTTCATGGAAATGAAAAGTAATTCTACATTAGTATTCTACCTCTGAGAATTCTGCAATGCTGACAAAAAAAGCACAAATACACAGTTTAACAAAGAAGAATGTATACGAGTTATAGAATGCCAACATAAGAAAGCTGTACTATTTTCGTTACTTTTTTTTTTTCAGCAACGCTGCTAGTACTGGTCTAAAATTAAAACAAGCACTGAAGTATAGAGAAGTAGTGCTAGAACTATAACAAGTGAAGATGGCATTTTTCACCCCTACACACTTCCCTCACATCTCCTTTTCTTTAATTCAAATAAAGTATGTGTAAAGAAAAAAAAAAAAGGTCATATCAGAAAACTTACCTTCTTGGAGGCCTGGCACAAGCTTGTAAACAATATCTTGCATTGTTCTATCATGACTAGTGGGGAAAAATGAAGGTTTAAATTAGTCATCTTGATTTAAAACATTTCTCTTAAAGAGATTCAGAATTAAATCAACTCTACAAACCTGTAAAGTCTTGTAAGAAAAAAATATTGATCTTGGATAACTGAAATATGAAATGGGAAAGAGAGGAATGCAGATAAGGTTCAGGCTAAGACAGGAATTGACAGAAAAATTAACAGAAGTGCTAGGTTAGACAGTCTTTATGATGCAAAGGATGGCACCCTGTGTGAGAGACTTTCACCTGCATCAAGGCACATATATCAGTAATGTGCTCTCAAAATTCCTTGACAATTTTGACAAAGGCATTTTTGCTCAAACCAAATGTGGCTAGACTGTTTCTTATCCCTTTTGATTAACATCTCATGTTGCTGGGTTGTTCAGTTATCCATATCATGTTTTCTAAAGAACATGTGGGGAAAAAAAAGTGTATAGAGAAAAAAAACAGAAGTGCACAAAGGAAAGAAAATTTGACTTTGCTTTTAATGCAACATTTTATCCAAGTACATTATCCTGTAGATCAGAATCTCAGCTAGCTAAAAAGGGTGGAACAAAAAAGAGACTGATCTGTCTTAGACATAGGGCAGGAACTCCTAGGGGAGTAGGGCTGGTTAAAATTCTAAATTTCTGTTCTCCAACTCACCTAGCACTCTGATGTTTTCAAACAATTTTTTTTTCTGTATTACTCTAAAATAAGTGATCTGAAAAGACCAGAACATTACCCCAACTTCCAAACTATAAATAAAATGCAACACAACATAAAATGTCAGCCTCTGTTGCTAAAAGGGCATTACCCCAGAAGAGTTTACAGCACTAAATTCCAGCTTTTACTCTCAGGTTTAGATTTTTAAGTGTCATTTACAGATTGCAGGAACATATCCAAAAACATTTCAATATAAATGAGTGATTTTTGCCACCAGCATGAGAGCAGAGAGAAGAATTTAATAGCATTCCTAGTCATTATATGAGATGTGCTTGGTATACCTATTTTCCAGAAGGATGGGGAAGAATTAGATCATATTTATGTAACTAAGACAAATATATTTATAATGTTCACGGTTACCGATTTGACAGTTTGCATGAAAGGTACAGCTCAAAAGTATTCTTTTCTTCTGAATGTATTCTAATAGTGTAGTTATATGGAATGCAGTGATTTGAAAGCAGCTTATTAAAATTATTTCTAAATGTGCAGTTAGATCGACCATTTTGATGTTTACAGAATAGTGACTATTGATTGTGAACCCCATACGTAACAATTGAAATAGCACACTGTTTTGTGTTTTGCTTCCTGCAACGATAAACAAAAGAGCTGTGTTCTGGTTCTAATTGCAATCCTGTGGAGAGATTTGATATGTGTGTGGCTATTAAAGAATTATTCCGAAGCAAAGTATATTTCTTTAATAGAGCAGTGTTACTAGTATTGTATTTCCCCTGAGCTCTTAGTGACACCCCCTTTTAAAATATCACTCTGACTAAAGTGTATGTTCTTAGCTTGTTTGTTAGAAGACTTGCTCTCAGAAGATGTGGCTTCAGTTATATTCTGTGTAGTTCATGCTACGCTTCTCTGGTAGCAACTCAGAATAAAAACATCAGGAGTATAAGGCTAAGATTTTCCCATACAAATCACAGAATCATAGAATCATAGAATGCTTAAGGTTGGAAGGGACCTCTAGAAGTCATCTAGTCCAACCCCCCTGCACACGCAGGGTCACCTAGAGCACATGGCACAGGACTGCATCCAAGCGGGTTTTGAAGATCTCCAGAGAAGGAGACTCCACAACCTCTCTGGGCAGCCTGTTCCAGTGCTCTGTCACCCTCACTGTTAAGAAATTCTTCCTTAAGTTCCTGTGGAACTTTTGATGCTTCAGTTTCTATCTGTTTCCTCTAGTTCTGTCAGTGGCCACCAGTGAAAAGAGGCCAGCAGCATCCTCCTCACTGCCTCCCTTGAGGTACTTGTAGACACTGATTAGATCCCCTCTCAGCCTTCTCTTCTCCAGGCTGAACAGGCCCAGCTCCCTCAGCCTCTCCTCATAGGGCAGATGTTCCAGGCCCCTGATCATCCTTGTTGCCCTGCGCTGGACTCTCTCCAGCAGCTCCACATCTCTCTTGTACTGTGGAGCCCAGAACTGGACACAATACTCCAGATGTGGCCTCACCAGGGCTGAGTAGAGGGGCAGGATCACCTCCCTCGACCTGCTGGAGATGCTCTTCTTAATGCACCCTAGGATCCCATTGGCCTTCTTGGCCACGAGGGCACACTGCTGCCTCATGGTCAACTTGTCGTCCACCATGACACCCAGGTCTTTCTCTGCAGAGCTGCTCTCCAGAAGGTCGGTCCCCAGCCTGTACTGGTGTCTGGGGTTATTCCTCCCCAGGTGCAGGACCTTGCACTTGGCCTTGTTGAATTGCATGAGGTTTTTCACCGCCCAGTTGTCCAGTCTGTCCAGGTCCCTCTGGATGGCAGCGCAGCCCTCTGGGGTATCGGCTACTCCTCCCAGTTTCGTGTCATCAGCAAACTTGCTGAGGGAGCACTCTGTGCCTTCATCCAGGTCATTGATGAATAAATTGAACAGGACTGGACCGAGGATTGACCCCTGGGGGACCCCACTAGCTACAGGCCTCCAACTAGACTCTACACCACTGATCACCACCCTCTGAGCTCTGCCGTCCAGCCAGTTCCTAATCCACCTTAAATCCTATAGGTTAAAAAACAGACAGTACTTGTGTTTGAGTGAAAAAAAATGTTACAAGTCTGATGACTGATTCTTGCTAATTATCTCTTTCTCTGTTCAAAGGAAATGTGTCATGCACCAATCCTTTTGCTTGTTGAAGGAAATTGTACACGTCAGGAACACCCCTGTGTAAAGCAGTTGCAGCTGGCCTGGTGTGGCCATGGCTTCTCTTCCTTTATGATGCTGCTGCTGCCAAATGAGTAGCAAGAGGTGCCTGAGGAATTAATAAGTGTTGATTATGCAATTGTAGGTGCTTATAAAGCCTGCATTGCTGTTTTAAAACAAAATATTTGGCATGTGTGTCATAGCAATAGTTAGATCACTTCAGCTTTTAAAAAATGCCAAAAGCAAGTTATCCTTGGAATAGGGTTTTGGCCTACTGAGCTGACATAATTGCAGCAATTAGGCTAATGTAGGAGGTCCACAGTTCCAGCTTACGTATGTTGCTATGTAGCTGTTAGGTAACTTTTGTTAGCTAAAGCATAATTAGGCAATTGTTATGAGAAAAAGAAATATGCATAGCTGGCAGAAACAGCAGAACTAAATTTATACAAGAATATTTGATCGGCAATTCACTACACCAAAAAATGAGCAACAACTCGGAGTAGACCACCAACCAGTAAAGATGAAACAATCTGGAGGCTGTTTTCCACCTCACAGAATTAATTCACCTCAGCCAAAAGAAGGGCGTGCCAACTGTACCTTTGGGGACACCTTACTGTGGAGGACCTCCAGGGATGCCTGGGACCAAGCTCATATGGTCAGACCCACCACGCTTAACCCCCTACTCCTCCCAACTTCTGAAAACCACTGCTCCTGTTAGCAAGGTAAGGGAAAGTAGAGATAACCATGGTTCTATAACTTTGTATTGTTCTATGAATTAATAATCACTCCTTCACAGAGACAATAAACATTTAAATTCTTTCACATGGATTCAGTTATTTTGTAGTAATTCATGCATGCGTTTAGTCTGCCTTCACCTAGACTAAGTAGTTCAATTAGCAATGACTGTGACCAACCAATAACTACCATGGAAGAAGGCTCAGAGGAAATGGGCAAAGGTTCAGGTGCCCCTGAAGCTCAGGAATCATATAGGATGTGACTCATTAGTTACAGCTGTTGCACAGAGAACTGACTTTATCTCAACACATGAGGCACCAGAGGATGACCTTCCTCTTAGATAAGCAGCCTGTAACTGTTGAGTGGATCAATGGGTGTAAACATTTCTTCCTGAGCTGATCAGAAGAATGTGAATGTCCTGTATAACATAAATTGACTTCAAAGTAAAATTTGATATTAAACTTTGCACTCTCTGTATGTGGAATATCTGAACGAACCTGATCAGATAGTACTGGACTCATATGTTTTAAAGCAGTAGATCAGAGAACCGAGAATAAAGGGGATCAATTTTGACAGGCAAATTGAAAAAAAAAAATCTAGAGAGAAATTGTGCTGTATTTGAGAGATTTGAGAGGATTATACAGTCCAGAGAGTTACTAGTTCTGCTTTTCCTTTCATGCTAAACACTTACCCAATATACTGTAATGGATGGCTCTGGTGTATAACAATTCTACATGTTGGGCAAGTGTTGTTTTCCTCCAAATGCTTCACTAAGCAGCTTCTACAGACTAATAACAAGAACATTAATAATTAGAAAGAAATAAAACAAGTATGTAGCTCTCTTTTAGCCAAAAAAAGAGAAGCTTGCCTATATATAAAAACACATGATGCTGAAACTCATAGTTATTTTTAACACAAAATTTCCAATATTTTTCATGACCATTCTCAATACAGAAAAGTGATGCAATAGAAGTACAGTGAGAAAGTTATATCTAGTCAGTCTTCCTAACAAAACACAATTAAACTGTTAGAATACAGTCCCAAAGTCACTAGAATAGCATTTCAAATAGGTAAGCACCATACCTAAGTGCACTGTTCAGCTTTCACAAAGGATGTTACAGGCATTGTATGTTATTAAAATATCTAGCCATTTTGCTGTGAATCACGGTGGTATGCAGAAGAAAAATGTTCTATGATAATAAACCTGCGCAAAAGGAATCATTTCTTTTTCCTCAAGTCAGATGCTTTTTAGTTGACTGGAAAGCTTTGAATAAAATGGATATTCAGGTGCATTTTTACTTTTAAATTTCAAAAAATCCACTACAAATTTAATCAGAAAATAAAATAAGGAAAGGTTGTTACTATATAGGAAAAAAAAGTGTTAATTGTTCTAGGAACAAACAGACCAGGAGGTTCCTATAGAACATTATGGATAACTTCTTGATGCAGGTGGTTGA